ATAATTAATGACAGTAAAAAACATGTAACAAAATCTGAATAAATGTATTATACATATTATCCCCAATTACAGCCTCAAAAGCCCGTTAAACCGAGGATTTACTTTAGACACTGATTAACCATAAATAAAAGAATAGATCTGACATACCTGCGCTGTGAAGGGCAGGTTGATGGAACTTGAGCTGAGCCGTGAGATACCAACTGGCAGGTGCAGCAAGTTGCAGTCCAATCCCAATGAAATGTACCAAAGCCGAACAGGTCGCGATCACGTATCCCCATCCCCCCTCAGGATAATAATGCCTCCTCAAGGTGGTCTCTTTCTTCGGCTCGTTCAACGCCCGTCCCGCCGCCCTCTTCCGCGCGTATTTTTTCCTCTCCCTATTCCTGGCGCCTCCAATTAGACCGCTCGCTCCTATTCTCCGCCAGCTGTTCCTCATTTTACCCTCCGATGCGGAATATTTACGGACCGTTTCCGGCTCGCTGCCGTTCCTATACCGGCCGGACGAGCTCTTCCTGTTCCCAGAAGACACCGGCGAACGAAACGGGTCCATGCGTTCCAGCAGCAAACCCTCCGGCGTGCATTTCGGGCACGCGTGCTGGGCGGTCCGCTCGCTTTGTACAGTATAACTCGTTATGTAGTCGTAATCGACTATCTGAATATGAGGAGTCGACAGTCTCTTCGGTGCGGACCGTCCAGACGAGCCCTGCCCTTCTCTCCGTTCCTCATCCGGATCGACCCTCTCGATATTTACAATCGTTTGCAAGCGAAGAAATTCCCCATCGTCTGGTCCATATTTCAGGGATTCCTTCACCTCTGACCTGAAGTTTGTCTCCTCTTGCAATATTGTATCAAGACGTTCGTCGGTGAAGAGGAAGCCTGATTTAGTTTTATCAGATGAGGACGATAATTTCGGTTCGTCTTCGGCGATCACTTTCGCAGAACTTTTATTCATAACGTCGTCTGGTACCAACGTGCGAAGTTCGAAAGCTTCCCCGGAACCCTGACGATTATTCCCCGAATCGATCGCTTCAATTTCATTCACGAAACGCCGCTTTGATTCGACGGAGCCGCGATCTAGGAACACGATCTCGTCGATCCAATCGGATTTCGAGGAGAGTAAAGGGTGGAGGCGATCGCGAACCGTCGGGATGATCGTAAAGGCGCGCGACAATGGATCCACGCGCACTTTCACCGTCTGCGGCCGAGCCCGGTCCGGCCAGGAGCTGCTGTGTCTCATGTTCTTCCGGTATTCCTCGCGCACCGTCATCTCTTATTCGATTCCTCATCGAGCGTCTTACGAAAAGGACGAATTGTTGAACGACAAAATTGGGACCGTTGCGCGTCGACTGGCTTGAGAAAATCGAACTTCCTCTTCGGTGATTGAATTAATTCGAAGAACGATGGGTGAAAGGATGTTTGAGGGTGTAAATTTCTCCCGTGAGCCGCTGCTGTCGTTTCCGAGACCCGGAGAACAGCCCCCGCGAGACGGTTGCATCTTTCGACGGTCTCAATTTTCACACCTCGATTTAAAAATAAAAATCGACACGAAATGATTGTTTATGAAATTCACTAATTTTTCACGTTTTTTTTCACGAAAATTTAAGAATTTATCTCGCGTTTAAATTATTAGAGAGGACGAATGTTGATGAGAGGATGATCGTTCGAAAAGGAAGAAACGGTCCTGGCGAGTGCGCCAGGATGACTGCTACGCACGTGCTGCTCACTCGCGAGCAACCCTCTCCTCTCTCTCTCTTTCTGTTTCTCTTACTTTCTCCATCTACCGGTGATGGCTGTCTCCCTCTTCCCAATGACGGGCGCATGCCTGCGACGTTCGACGACCAGTCGCGAAGCTAGTGTTTCCGAGTGTTGGATTATTTAACTTTAAATAATCAATGTTATCAAAAATGATCCAGAGGACCTGGACCGGATATCAAACATAAACAATGTTTGATGGTACGCAGAACCGATATCCCTTGTCGTTGGGTGACGGTTTGATTTAGGCTTCGTAATCGGTCGGTTAGTCTCCTGGAGCAATCTGGAGAGTAAAGACGGTCCTTGCTCTTAAGTGAAAAATAATAAAGTACAGAATTAAAGTTAATTCACTGCGTTTATATTTTATTTATCTACCCCATTTCCAATAGGTTATGGGCCCAGATCACATTGTGCATTAACTGTGTATTTTGTTAATAATTTAATTATTTAAAGAAATAAATTTTCGTGTTGCTACGT